TGTTTAATAGCCTAATGGTGGAGGCCTCCCTGCCACCTGCTGCCATTAGACTACAGGCAGCTCTGCTGCTAGAGGCTGGGATCCCACGGGGTGGGGGGGCGGACTTGGGCCCCTAGACCTGTCTCCTGGGCTTGGGACTCTCCCAAACAGTGGGCCTACAATTTTGGGGGTGCAGTATAGGGGGGGCCCTGAGAAGATGACAATGCTGTGTACTTTAGGAGAAAGGAGGAGCTGCACAAGACCCCACCCCAACACTCAAGACGATGAACCCCAGTCCCACCAGTGGGTGCCCTCAAGAAGTGGGGCCCTCTGTATGGCCCCTGCCTGCCCCTATGCTCCCAAAGGCTCTTATCTGGGCTGAAACCTGGGCCCCTGAGGTTAGCCCCCTCATGCTGAGACCAAACCTCGACCCCACCTTGCTCTACTCTACTCTGTGCCTCAGTTTCTGGCTCTTCCAAATGGGTACATTTAGAATCTCCACTACCTAGAGATGTGAAGGTTGAACCTTGCCTTGGGCACATGGCCAGGAACTCCAGCACTCAGAATAGGGAAATTATGAAATTATTACTAAGACTAGGATCTCATGTCTCCTCCTAGGTGGGTTGTCAGGTTACTAAGAGGTGGTAACAGTTGCGGGTAAGGATTACCTCCATTTCACGATGAGTGTCCCCCTCTTCCCCACCCCCACCCCGACATAGCATGTACAGCCCCACCCCACTTGTTTGACCCACCACGCGACGTCCCCTGGTTAGGCCTTGGCTCCTCCCTCTGGCCCCGCCCCACTCTCATTTCTGGTCACTGTAGCTGGTTTTTTCCTCGGGTCTCTAATCCCCATTTTACAGACATAAAAACCAAGGATCGTCTGTGGGCTGGGGTGGGGGCAGGTCACTCGTTCCCGGTGGCTCAATCTAAGGGACAGGGATGCAACTTCGAGCCGGGTAGGTCTATTCTGGGTGCCCGGTAAAATGGGGAGGAGGTCCTCGACCCAGCTTGGGTCGCCTCAGCCTACTCCTCCTCCCCCTCCGATGCTCCCAGCCCCGCCCGCGTCCTCAACGCGCTGTGCGCTCCCGGCCACGGCGCGCACTTTGCCCACCGTCCCTAGGCAGGGGGCGGGGCCTCCCTCAGTGGCGTTCCCCTTACTTTTATTATGTATTATCTTTTAAAGGGGCCGCGACCTGAAATTTTCTGTCCACTCTCCCTTCCCTTCCCAAGACCCCTAGGCTGGTCGTGAGTGTTCGAATCAAGCGCGGGGGGAGCGAGGGGGCGTCCGGGAAGGGGGAGGGGGCCTCGCGAGACCCCTCCCCGCGTCCCGGGCCTGGGCGCTGAATCACCCGCGAGGTATTTGCATCTGAGAGCGATTTGTCACCCGGTGATTTGTCTTCCCGGCGGTGAGCGCGCCGGTGGGGGGGGAGGGGAGGGGCGGGGGAGACCGCGCGCTGGGTGACTTTTACCAATCCGGTCGGATGGGGGTGTAGACGCGGACTGAGCTGGCGGCTAGGTGAGTCCGCGCACGGCACAAACCCGGCGGCGGCCGGGAGCCAGCAGCTCGCAGCTTACCGCCTGGGCTGGAGGCCAGGCGCGGCCGGGGCAGGGCCGGACGCCTGGCGCGGGGCATGCGCCCCGGGAGCGGGCCCCGCGCGGTGAGACTGGGGTGGGGGGTGTCGGCCTTTTAAATCGCGGGTTCCGGTCCGGGGTGAAGGGGGGTCCCCAAAGTTGGGCAGGGACGTGGATGGGGGTCCAGCGTCGGGAAGGCGACCCTAATGGGTCGGAGTGGTTTTCTCCACACCCCCTTGACCTCACCACCTACCATGTTGCGCAGGGGCGCGCGCGCGCGCGGGTTGGATCGGGGGTCGCAAATGCGCTCCCCCTCTAGCGGAAGGAAATGGTCTCTAGGCGCGCGCGGGGGGCTGCTCATAGGGTTTAGTTCATTTTTTTCTCCCCGGAATCTGGTGTTTTATTCGGGAGCTGTGAGGGGAGTGGGAGCGCCGGGTGAGGAGGGCAGTTCCCTGGTGACCCACCCCTGCTGGGACGGTTTATTTATAAAGTGTCGGCCCCCGGGCTGAAAGGGGCCCCTGGAGGGGACACTGCGTTGCCCTCGCTTGGGGGTGGGCTCGGCCCCGGTCCCCGGTTCTCTGGTGGGGATCCCCGGGGAAAGCCCCCTCCCCTGTTCGGTGTCCCCCAAACACAAAGCGGGCGCAGGAAGCGCGAGGAGCGCGCGTTTGTCAATTCCAACGTTCGGTGTCCGACCTCGGGCAGCGCGTTTGTCAAGAATCTTCCGTTTTTTACTAGCTGGGGCCGAGGGTTTGCCCCCCCACCCCCATGCAAATCGGCCGCTTTCCAAGAAGCGTTTGAAACCGGACTGGGGTTTTTGTCGTCCTATTTCTTCAGTGTTTCCTTTCTCACTTCCTTCGAGCTGACCCCTCCCCACCCTCCTAGCCCCCTCCCCAGCCTGCTGCCCCCCTCCCCCTCCTCTTTCCTCCGTGGAGTGAGGGGCCCCTTTCGCCACCCTAGGGCCCCAGCCTTGCACAACTCTTTAAATAACCGTGTTTTGCAAGGCCCGAGCCGAAGCGGGTGACCTCTCTCTTCTAGAGGCATTGGGGGGGGGAGGGCGTGGCCCGATTTCTCCTCGCCCCCCCCCACCGGCCAGGTCCTAACGACCACCCAGCATCCCCCATCCCTGCTAGGTCCCTGCTTGGGAATGCCTTTCCCATGGGGCTGTCATAAAGTGGGGGTAGGGGCCGAGGACAAAGGGCTCTTGGGGGGAGGAATCTGGAGGGGGTGAGCGCTGCCAGTTTTAGGGTTAATGGCAACCTTGAGGGGGCCCAGGCCTGGCCCAGAGGGACACGGGGGTTCCCACCTGCCCCCTCCAGCCCTGGCGTGGAGGCCTGCCCTGCTCCCCTCCCCCACCGGGTGACCCGGAAGGGTCATTAAATCCAGCAGGCCAGGCGGGGGCAGCGTGGGGGGGAGTGGCTTCCTCTCGCCTCTTCCTTATGCCCCCCCAAGAGGTGGGGGGCATTGCTTTGGGTGTTTCCATTGGAGGGGGCTTGTCTTGAAGTTGTCAAAAGTGGGGGAGGGGCAGTGAGCCTTAGACCCTGGGTGAGAAATGTCCCCTCAGCACTTCTTGGGGCTGGTGGGGGATGACTGTCAGTGGGGGAGGGGGTGACTGGGTGTTGTTTTGCTGTGCTGGTCACTCTCCAGCACTGTGGCCTCTGAGAAGGTCTGTGTGCCCAGGGACCCCGCCCCTCCCAGATCCTGAGGTTCTTTGGGGGTATGTCCCTTCCCACTTTTTACAGAGGCTACTCATCTGCCCCCCCCCCTGCCCCTTTACCCAGGAAGCCCCAGGAAGTCTGGGTAAAGAGTGGCTGGTCCTGGAGAAGGTGTAAGGCCACTGGGCTCACTGTGGCTCTGTAGTGCCCCTCCCGAGATGGGGGAGATTGGGAGGGGGCTGCACTGCAAGTCTCCTAGGTAGTATCAGGCTCCTTTTAGCAGGTCACCATATTGGTGACCTAGCATCAGCTAGAACCAGGAGCCTCTAACTCTGTCCACTAGCCCCTCCTCTGTGAAACCCTTTTGCCCCAAGAGCTGCCTAAGGGCCTTTTAGGGGTTTATTTGTGGGTTAGGGGCAGCCTCCTGGACCCTCCTGCCCTCCCCACTGTTCCTGTGATGTACCACCAGGCCTGTTGGGTTCTGCCCATTTGTTTTATTAGCTGTTTGGGTGGGTGGGGGTGTGGCCTGGATTGGGTGAAGGGCTAGGGTGAAACCCAAGTCCTTCTGTCCTGTTGGAGCCTGGTTGTGCCAGGTTCTGGGACATCTCTCTTCTGAACCTTCCCTAGGCCCTGGCAGTTAGGATTGGTGGTAATCTGAAGGGACCCCAAGCGAGGGACAGAGTGCATTGCATTCTGGGACATTGGCCCCACTTGGGGTCCCAAAAGACAGAGGAAGTCCCCTGCAGGGAGCATGGGGGGAGGGCAGTGTGGGAGGCTCTCATGGCACGCAGACCCCAGTTAGCTGGGCATCTCTAAGCCTCAGTTTCTCTCTGTAAAATGGGGACAACCTAGCACCTCCTTCCCTAACACTGACATGAGGTGGTATCTGTTTTTTACCCATCTTCACCATCATAAACTCATTTAATCTCTGCCTGAGCAGTGAGGTGAATGCAGTTCGGGTATCATTTTACATATGGGGAAACTGAGGTCCAGAGAGGTTGAGGCTTATGGCTGAGAGCATGAATGGGCAAGGATTAGCTCAGGGCTCATATACAGCAAGCACTCAGTCTGGGCCAGCCATTGTCTCTGTTAGCCTGAGCGAAAGGAGGGTATCTGGAGCCCTCTGGATCAGGCGGCACCAGCACCTAGAACGTGGAATCAGAACCCAGAACCCACCTGGACTGTGGTGCCTGGCAGCCAGCTGTAGCCAATCAGAGGCCTGGAATACCCTGTGGCTCTCTCTGTTTATGAAGCAATAATCCACGCTGGTCCTTGGGAGCTGCAGTCAGCGACTGCATATTTCTCTGGGGCTTCCTTGAGATCCTCGGGAGTCCAATGTGGGGTAACCCCACTAAGCCCACTGGAAGGTGGACAGAGGAGGGGTGAATGGGAAGAGTGTGTTTCTCCACCTCCAGGGAGGCCTCCAGGTTTGCACCCTGGAGGGAGTGGATGGGAGGGATTTTCCCAGAGGCCTTTGTGGTCCAACCTCAGTGGGGAGGATGAGGCTAAGGAGCCCAGTGTGGTTTGACAGTCTGTCTTGCTGCCCTCAGGTTTCTGCAAACATACAAATGAGCTGGATGCCAGCTGCTGTCCTTCCGTGCCCGGTGTGAGAAGAAGGTGCCACCTGTTGGCATGCCCCACCAGCCCTCAGCCTGAGCCAAGTGGCCCCTGCCCCCCGCCACCCTGCACTGCCCCAGCTCCCCCACGGCCCCCACACTGCAGTGCGGCCGGGCCCCCTCCCCGAAGGGGCCGCCCCTGCCACCCACCCCTGGTGCCCGGGGCGGCCCAGCCCGCAGGGCCATGAAGCTGCAGGCTGTGATGGAGACACTCCTGCAGCGGCAGCAGCGGGCACGCCAGGAGCTGGAGGCCCGGCAGCCACTGCTGCCCGAGCCCCCTGCTGGTCCCCCGGCCCTCTCCAGAGCTGCCTTGGATGAGGACAGAGACCCCGAGAACACCCGAATGCAGCAGGCACAGATGGCTGCTCTGGCAGCCATGCGGGCTGCTGCTGCTGGCCTTGGATCTGCACCCAGCCCAGGTGGCTCTGAGGACAGGCCCCCCAGCTCGGAGGATGAGGACACTGCCCAGGAGGGGCAACCAGGCTCACCTGACAGAGGCAGGGAGGCACCAGGACATGCTGAAGGCGACGGGCACTTTGAAGATGTAGGCTCTGATGATGACCTGTGAGTGAGGGTTCATAAGCTTTGTGCAGTGAGTGGTATCTAGGTCTTGGTGACAGAATTGTAAGGACAGGACAAAACCTCCTAGGAAAGTGTCACCCTTTAGAATTTTCTGAATGATAGTGAACGTGTTCTCCATCTGCAGCATCTAGTCATACGTGGCTATTGAATGTGTGAAATGTGGCCAAGAACCAGCATTTAGAGCTTAATTTAATCTTAAACAGAACTAGCCACACATGGCCACTGGCCCCATTGCCCAGCAAGCCTACAGCAGATTCAACATCAGGAGCAGATAAATAAAGTTGGTAGACTGGGTAGGACCTGCACAGGGTGGGCAGGTTGGCTCACTGGGGTCTGTATTTCCCAGGGGTCCAGTGTGGGCCCTGAGCTGGGTGCTGCTGAGACCCCAGTGGGGTCTTTCTAGGAAGACTTTTTTTGTGTGTGTGTTAATCTTCACTGAGGATATATATTTTTTTATTGACTTTTAGATAGAGTGGAAGGAAGGGAGGGAGAGAGAGAGAAGAGAGGGAGGAAGGGAGAGAGAGAAAAACATTGATACACATCTATTGGTTGTTTTCTGCACGTGCCCTGGTGATCAGAACTGCAACCCAGGTATGTGTCCTTGACTGGAAATCAAACCCATGACCTTTCGGCCCGCGGGTTGATACTCCAACCACTGAGCCACATTGGTCAGGGCTTACATTTTTAAAAATTGATTTGAGAGAGAGGAAGGGAGAGAGAAAGAGAAATATCGATGTGAGAGAGAAACATCGAACGATTGCCTCCTGTAAGTGCCCTGACTGGGGATTGAACCCAAAACCTAGGTATGTGCCATGACCAGGAATTGAACCTGCCACCTTTGGTGTATGGGGCGATGCTCCAACCAACTGAGCCACACTGGCCAGGGCACTGGGAAAACTTTTGTTTGTTTGTTTATCCTCACCCAAGGACATTTTTTCATTTTTTGTTCAGGTAGAGTGGGAGAGAGAGAGAGAGAGAGAGAAACATCGACATGAAAGGGATACATCGAGTGGCTGCCACCTGCACGACCAACCAGGGCCAGAGACAAACTGCAACCGAGATACGTGCCCTTAGGGGGAACCAAACCCGGGTCTCTCTGGACCACAGGCCGATGCTCTAACCGCTGAGCCAAACCAGCCAGGGCGACTTTTTAACAAGCAAAGAAATGGGGTGATTGTAGGTTATGACTGGGGCTGCCAAAAATGAAGCAGGATGACTGGGGCCGGGGTTAACTTTCTAGAATGATGGGCAAAGTGGTGACAGTCCCTAGGAAGGGCCAGAGGAGCCTGGAACATCACGCCTAATGGAGGGAACAGCCTGAGCAAAGACTCTGAGGAGGGAACTAGCTTGGTATTTTCAAGGTTCAGCAAGACAGCTGGTGTAGCAGAGAGAGGATTGGGGAGGGAGCCCGTTAGCACTGGGGTGGGGGCTAGGGATTATGTCTGAAGCTGGGTCAGCTGAGGCCCGACCTCCCTGTGTTGAGAAGGAAACCCAGGCTGGGATGAGGAGCCAGCCTTGCCCTGGAGTGGGGGTGGGGGGTGAGCTGGCGTCTTCTCCCCTGACCTCTGCCCTCTTTGCCTGCCCCAGGAAGCCAAAATGGGAAGAGGAGGAAGAGGAGGAAGAAGAGCTGGAGGAAGACTTGGGGGATGAGGATGAGGAGGATGATGAGGAAGACTATGAGGATGAGGAGGGGCTCGGGCCCCCAGGCTCTGCTGGCCTGGGCCCTGCTGCCCTGTTCACCCACAAGGCCCAGCTACCCCAGGCCTTCCGTGGCGGTGATGGTGGGCCCCGGGTGCTGGGTGGCCAGGAGCGCCCAGGGGCTGGCCCAGCCCACGCTGGAGGGGCTGCCCACGTGGTACCTCAGCTGCAGCCTCCTGACCATGGGGACTGGACGTATGAGGAGCAGTTCAAGCAGGTGGGTTATGCGTTGTGCGTCATAATGGGGACAGTGGGGGCAGGGGTGCACCCTGGCTGTTAACTGGGGTTCTTCCATCCGTCCTGATGGCTAACTTTTGCCTTGCCTGCAAGTGCCAAGCTGGGTGCTGGGGATCCCATGGGTGGGCTGGCTGGCTGTTAATGCATGAATTTGGGGGACATCAGCCAGGAGGGAAAAGTTCAGGGCTCTTGGTGTCTGAACCAGAAGGAGAGGCAGAGACAGAGCAGGAGAGGGGTTCAGAGTGGAGGGAATTGCTCAGGCAAAGGCTGTGCAGTGACCTGGCTTGGCCTGGGTGTGGATGTGGCCCAGTGATGTGGGATTGGAGGTCTTGTCTGTTTGGTCTCTTGAGTGGAGTTTGGCGTATTGAGGCCCAGGCGATTGGTTGAGCAGGAGGTGGCCACGTTGATGTGGATGGCCCAGCACCCTGGGGCTCTGGAGGGGCGGGGAGGAAGCAGGCCATTCTGGTGCCTTCCCAAGGGCAGCTAGGGCAGAGGAAGTGGCCGGGCGGGGCATCCTTTGAAGTTTGGCTGAGCTGGGCTGGGCAGATGGAAACCAGATGGCGGCCCAGGCGGCCAGTGGAGCTTGCATTCCATCCTCAGCCAGCTGGGCCCTGCCCTGACCTCTAGGAGTGGCTGGAGGGGACCTGGTCTCCCTGGCCCAGAGCCCAGCCTCGCTGGGGCTCCACGGTGATGTGGACACGACAGTGCATCGGAGTGCCCTTGGGGCAGCTGCCCTCCGGAAGCTGGGTCCAGGATTGGCTGTGGGACCTTCTGAGAGGGAGGTGAAGCCTAGCCACCCTATGTTGGTCTCTAGGGACACAAAACCAGTGGCTTCCCTCTCAGCTTCACTTGTAGAAAAGGGTATTGGGACCCAGCAGCCCTCAGAGGCTTGAGTTCAGGCCATCAGAAAACAGATGGAGCCCTGGCCGGTTTGGCTCAGCGGTTAGAGCATCAGCCTGTGGTCCAGAGAGACCCAGGTTCGGTTCCCGCTAAGGGCACGTACCTCGGTTGCAGTTTGTCCCCAGCCCTGGTTGGGTTGTGTGGGTGGCAGCCACTCGATGTGTCTCTTTCACGTCGATGTTTCTCTCTATCTTTCTCTCTCTCCCTCCCACTCTATCTGAACAAAAAATGGAAAAATGTCCTCGGGTGAGGATTAAAAAAACAACAACAAAAAACAGATGGAATAAAGAAAAACTGGAAATTGGGCCCATGGGGAAAAGCCCGGGGCTGTGGTGGGAGTGACAGGGACAGAGGAGGTGGGAAGGTTAGAGGGGTGGTACCTCCGGAGTGGGCACAGCCAGCTTCAAGGATGGAAGGGAGAGTTAAATACCCTCCCCACCCCCTGAGCCTCCTGTCTTCGTGGGAGTGGCCCAGGTGACTGGGTGGGGTGGCCTTGCCTCCCGCCTGGTTTTGGCACAGGGGTGGCAGTGCCTTCTGGTGGAATGAAAGCCAACAGATGTCACTTCCTCAGGATGAAGCCAGCCCTGCCCCATGAGTGGCCCTGGCTGCCTCCTGCGTGTGGACGCCAGCCTGAGCCTGCATGTGGAACTGATGGCCTCAGTGCCCTTCCCTTTGGGAAGGAAACATTTGCTGGGCAGCTGCTCACCCCATTTTGCAGATGAGAAAGTGGAGGCATGGTATTGGGGGCAGGTTCTACAGAATCTAAGCCCCTGATGTTCTCTGGGTTCAATATAACAGATGGGCACATTTTGGGCAAGTCACATTTATTTATTCACCAAATATTTGCTGTTTGTCCTGAACACAGCCCTTGAGGAGCCCCAGGCTGGGGGGGTCGAAGCTGGACAGACACCCCTGCCTCACATGGTCACAGCTGGGTGGGAGGGGCGAGGTTGTGTGGCCTTGGGGGGGTCAGAGATCGACAGAATCCTTGCCCCCCTGGCTTCAACACTGACAGGAGGTGGAGGGTGTTGGTGGTCAAGCCAGGTGGGGATGAAGGGTTAGAAGTCCTGACCCCAAAGACCTTTTCTCATGTCAAGAACAAAGGGCCTCGGGAGCCATTGTCTCACTTGTCTGGGACATGATGGTGATGTCTCAGGATGCCCAGGTCAGGGCACAGTTTCTGAGGCCAGACGGTCAGGGAGCTTCAGTGTCACACAGTCACTCATGGTTTATTCCTGTTGTGGGTGGAGAAGGTCCGTAAACAAGTAAATGGATAGTAACACGGGATGTGGTTGGTGTCTTTAGAGGGGAAGCAAGGGGAAACGGGGAGGCCTCTTAGGATGTGACCTTTAGGCTGAGCTTTGTAGGAGCAGGAGCCAGGCATACGCACTGAGGAGTGGTGTACCTGGCAGAGGAGATAGCCTGTGAAAAGGTCCTGAGGTGGGACCCAGCTTTGCTTGTGCATAGGGGCCACACATTACTAGCCTGGGTCCCACAGGCGATGGGCCTGTATTCCAGGATGAGGTAGGCTGAGGGAGGGTTTGGGCCAGCAAGGGCCTGCCCTGTGGTGCTGGGAGCTTATTTTTGCCTGTTTATGGCCCGTCGAGCTGCTGGTGCTGTCTGTCCACCCAGCTGGCCAGGCACCTGTGCAGCCAGTGTCAATAGTGGCTTGGGCCCAGCCAGCTTGGCAGATGTCAGGGGCCATGTTGACTCTGGCACTGCCCCACCCCCTTCCTGGCACGTGGCAGCCAGCCGGCCAGCCGTCCACTTGGCATCATCTCTGTCTCTTCCTCCCTGATCTTGGCAGGGCCTGGGGCTGACTTCTGCCCCCAAACCCTCAACAGTCTTGCAATTCTGCTGTTAGCTACAGGTCTGGGGGCAGCCAGGCTGGGGAGGGTCCTGGGGCAGTAGGCTTGTGACCACAGAATCTTTCCTGGAAAACCTACAACCTCCCACTGATGGAGGCCAGCTCACCTGGAGCTGCTGGCCGGGGACCAGGGTGTGTTACAGGCAGCGATTAGGAGCTCAGCCTCCTGGCATCAGATATAGCATGTACTGACATCCTGGCGACTTCCTGTCACCAACATGGCCATGCCTGGGCTCTAGAAAGTGTTCTTGTGGGATTTTAAATCAGCAGACTCTTAATTACAAATCTTTAGTTGCTTAAGGATTTGAATCCTGTCTCAAGAACTCCAGTGTTGGAATTGTTTAACAGCTTTATTGGTAGAAAATTTGCATAGCACATAATTCACCCATTTAACGTGTGCAATTCACTGGTTTTTAGTATATTCATAGGGTTGTACATCCATCACCACAATCGATTTTAGAGCATTTCATCACCCCAAAAGGAGCCCCATTCCCCTTAGCAGTTACCCTCATCTCTTTCCCCAGCCCTTGACCCGTTTTCTGTGAATTTGCCTATTCTGGAGATTTCAAATAGAGTCAAACACTGGCTTTTTGTGTCTGGCTTCTGTCACTGAGCATCTTGTGTTCAAGGTCCTTCTACATTGTAGTGAGTGTCAGTGTGTCACTCCTTTTCATGGTTGACTAATATTCCAGTGTGTGTGGATGGATCATATTGTGTTTATCTTTTCTCCCATGGATGGGTACTTGGGTTGTTTCCACCTTTTGGTGATTGTGAATCCTGCTGCTGTGAACATGCATGTAAAGGTTTTCGTGTGAACAGGTTTTCCATTTTTTTGAGCGTGTACCTAGGAGTGGAATTTCCAGTTCAGGTGGTAACTCTGTGTTTAATGTTTTGAGGAGCTGCTGAGTACTGTCCATAGCACTGCCCTATCTTGCGTCCCACCTACCATGCGTGAGGCTCCAGTTTCTTCCCGTCCTCACCAACACTTGTGATGATGACTGGTTCCAGCTGTGTGGGTGGGGGTCTTGTGGTATCTCACTGTGGTTTTGATTTGCATTAAATGGTGCCCTGGCCACTTTGGCTCAGCGGTTAGAGCATCAGCCTGAGGACCAAAGAGTAGAGGTTCGATTCTGATCAAGGGCACGTACCTTGGTTTTGGTTCAGTCTCCAGCCTTGGTCGGGGTCTTGTGGGAAGCAACCAGTCGATGTATCTTGTTTACGTCAGAAATGATTTGCATTAAATGTTAGGATACTTTCCTTTGCTTTCCAAGGTAGTAGCCAATCACCACGTCACTCGTAAAGATCAGAGACGTAGAAGTGACAATTTTACCTAATATTTGCTGCCTAACTATGTGCAGATGGCAGATTGAACAGCTCATGCATGTCTCGTGTATCTTTTTTTTTTTTGGTCAATCCTCACCTGAGGATATTTTTTCCATTGATTTTTTTAGAGAGAGTGGAAGGGAGGGGGAGAGAGAGGGAGAAAGAGAAACATTGATTGGTTACCTCCTGCATGTGCCCTAACTAGGGTGGGGGATCAAACGTTTAACCCAGGTATGTGCCCTTGACCAGAAATCGAACCCGAGACTCTCCAGTGCATGGGCAAATGCTCTAACCACTTAGCTACACTGGCTGGGACTCATGTGTATCCTTTTTTTACATAAACCAGTAATAGTCACTTATTATCATTACCAATTATTGTAATTGTATGTGCTATACTTTAATATGATTGGCAGCAGAGTAGGTTTGTTTATACCACAAAAATGTTGTGCAATAAATTTACCATGTCACTAGGTGACAGGAATTTTTCAACTCCATTCTTGTGTATCCTCTTGATCCCATGGGGGAGGAACTGCCATTGCCCCTCTTGCGCAAATGGGGAAACCGAGGCACTTGCCATGGGGGAGGAGTCAGAGCTGGGATCGGATTCCAAGGTAAACTAACCCTAGCACCTTCCAGAGCATTCCTGGGAGAGTAGATGGACCAGGGAGGGGCAGGACGCCACTGGCTACAGGGTTTAGGGGAAGCCTGGTGGCCTCACTGAGCCTCAGTTTCCTTCGTCTGAAATGGAGGCATTTGACCAAGACTTCACATTGGGGCGTCAAGACCCAGTGCCTGGACACAGTAGGCACTTGGGCAGAAATAGCCACCAGCAGCTCCAGGAGGCCGCTGCATCCTGGCTGTGGACCCAGCCTTGCCCCTTCCCCTCCTTA